CGCTTTATAATCGCAATACCTCCTCTACGATTTAGACATATTTACTTTATTTGACTACAACATAATGTTTTACCAATAGGCTTTTCCGAATATCTGCTCCTACTTAGTATTTCAAAGATAGCCTCATATACTCTATACCTCACAAATTACGCAAGGGCTAATATTCGGTCTTATCAAGTAGAATAAACAAACGAATAACGAGGAATACATTTATTAATGAATTAACATGTAATACAAAATCGACAACAGTGCAGGTATCTTTTTCTTTATCACCCAAATCCATGAAATTCCCGAAAGTAGATATTATCTGAAAAAGAACAAAAGAATTATACAGATGTAGACATTGTTATCAGTGTAAACACAATAATTAACCATGAAATATGTTTGAAACGACGAAATAATTGAATTGTATATAATTACGTCAGTAAACATTTTTCAATAATACAAAATCGATATTGCACCTGCCTGCAAACGTCAAGTTTATGTCATAAAATAAGGAAATACTATGCGCATATAATTTCTAAGTATTTCTGCAGATTTTTCCTTAAAGAAATACATGTGGGGGAGCCTTGTCAGCATTAGGAAAAGTACACAACAAAGTAAATGAAATAATTACCAAAACGAGCTATCCCACCTCATCATGTCCCTGTGTAACCCATTAAAATGCAAAAAAATTCACGAAATGGTCGTTATAACATGTGTCTTCAAGTAATTCGACATATTCTGAACGGAAAAGTATGTTTTTTCAACAAACTGCAAACTGCCTGTAAGCTACGGCCGGATAAGGACACCACCATTGCCTATTTCTGCTAAATACGCCGTATTTCATCAACTTTTAGCTGGAATATATGTAAAAAAGTGTGTATAACAACGAAAAATGACCTAACCTTGACATATTTTCCAAAAATAACGCCAATATCCATCAGCTGATCAAATGACCTACGGCCGTCTACAGGCTGCCGGTCGTAATCAAAATGAAAAGTTGTATTTCGGAACTTACATTATAACTCTCATCAGTTCATTCACTTTCGGCGGAAATGTTACGTCTTTTAGAAATATTAATAAATTTGTTGTCGTTTTTTAGAGTAAGCGTGATAACTGAGAAAACTTATTCATGTTGTTTTAGTGAGCCTTTCGTTTACCTATGGCTTCTTTTCAAATGTTAGGCGCACTTTGGCTTTTTTACACCTTTATTGTACCCAAATAATGAAATGGTGTAACTTGGGGAGGCAAATATGCTCTCCGGTAAGTATTGGAATTTGTATCTTATACTTTTATTCATATTTTTCCATGTCATTTGTCTGTTTGTGGTTACTCACAGTAACCTCTCGTGTTTTGCATGTAGATAAGAACATTCATGTGTTGCAGTTTGATATTAGTAGTATGTCAGCCACATATAGTCGCTCACTAGTATTGTGTTTAATCTTTTGTCATCGTCTCCTGAGGTTCAAAGGCTGTGCATTGGCATTTTATTTCCTCCGGTTTTGTAGCTCGTAGAGCTTCGGACTTAAGTGCTTATAGTCTAACCAACCGTTGCATGTATTAGATGGTTAGTATTCACTAGTGCTGATGTACACTACATTTCCGCTATCTATTTTGTTTTGATTGCAATTAAATTGCAGATTGAATGATACGTAGTTCTTACATAATAGAGAATAAGCCAGTATATTTTGAGTTGTAGTGTACGTGGGTGGGATTGTAAATACCTTCTTTAGTGTTATCTCCATCTGCTGGGAAATCAACAATGGTAGTTGCGCATCAGAATTGGAAGCTTGGTACTGCGATATAAGCATGTCCTGTGTGACATATTCATAGTTGTAGAAAGCATTTCCTCTAAGAGCGAAGCAGGCGGTACAATGATGGGTCACTTCTCTAGTCAGATTTTACGACGACAACAGCTAGTATATATAACTGAGTATTTATCTGAGTTTTACCGATACTTGGACAATACAGATCTTGACTACTGTTATAGACTTACGATCTACTTCAGCAATCACTTTGACTATAGCAACAAAAACATTCATACAACGTACTTTTTATCTTTCCATTTGTTCATACTCATGTTAACTGACTTGAAAAGTAAATGTATTATCTAATTGTTCTAAATGTCCTGCTAAAATATATCGTGCTTTTGAGGTAAATGTCGTCTAACAGCACTCGTATTATTATTGTTTCCTCATTTTTACTATATTTGCATCTTGTGTTGTGTGTTTTTGTTGGATTCTCATTCTTGGCCAAAACCCTAGGATCTGTATAGTTTTAAGTCACTAAATAGTTGCTTAAAGGTGTCCTAAGTGTTCTAAACCGATATCTTGACACTTGCTCCACTCAAACCTACCGGTTATAACTATCTCACGGATTCACATGAGAAAAGTCTACAACCAATGAGTCAATACATCCTGAGGACTCCAGTCAGGTGGCGTACACCTCTCTTCATCGCTGTAATCATCAGTTGAACTTCACAGATTGGTATCATTGCTTGTCATGACTACTAAATTTCCCAGCGTAATTTTGCTTCATTTGACACTGCTTGCTGAAAAAGTGATCCCACTGTTTGCGTTCGACATGTCGTTTCATCTCGATCAACATAGCTTCATAATCTCACTTAATGACTGTCCCTATCTGATTATATACACCTAATCTCATTATTAGTATTTCATTCCATGGAGGCACTTGGAAGCAGTTAGTCTGTGTATCTGATTTTGATAACAACCTTGAAGTAGTGCGGAGCGAGCGAACTGCTGCACTGAACGCACGTTTTTTCTTCGATAGCCGGATATCATGGCAGTATAAAATATGATGTAGATTGACAAGTGACAAACAAGGTTCTTATGTTCATGCTTAGATTTGACAGCAGTCAGTCCATTGGAGTTAGTAAAAGTTTCAAAATAATGAAGTAATTACCACATTAAACTATACCCCTTTCATTAAATTAGAAATCCATGGGGATCTGCACTGCCACCCAATCTTGCATTTGACAGGTTCAAGTCACTTTTCAGTCACTTAGATTTGCTCAAAGCCTCCACAAGCCTGCATTTTATAAGCCTCTTGACCATGAAGGACATTATTATCTGCTTACTCTTGACCAATGAGACTTTTTGCTGCCAACAATTTAATACATCCCTGAAGCATTTCAGTCAACCAGGATAACATCCATAAGTATATCTGTAATGCAATTGAACAAGTATAGTGGCTCTAAGTATCCCTGATAGGCAGCACCGCTTGTTGTCACTTCGAATGATATCTTTTGCTAAACTTCTACTCGACCATGAGTTCAATTAAATTTCATTGATTAGCATAATATACTTTTTCAGAACTTCCTTCACAGCCATGCAATACCTCCTGCACCTCTCTTCTCTTCAGGTCAGTAAATATAATTTCCAGGGAGTTGTAAGCCTGCTTATTTTGTAGAACTTGTCTAAAGACAAAGACCGGTTCGGTTTTGTCAAGCTAAACAGATTCTTCGTAAAAGTACGAAATCAAGGATCTTAGATACCATGCTAATTTTTTTTCTTGTGATTATCACTCAAAAATTTGTTCCTTTCATATAAATTAGGATGATAAAGTTCCATTCTTCACAAAGGACATTTCACTTCCAATGGACTCTTACAGCGTATCTTTGATGAATCTGAATAGCTGATGAGCATTACCTGTGATAGCAGCTACCAATGTTGATGTACCATATCATAGGAATCGGCATACAAAATTCCAGCGAATTGTTCCGAATAAATTCTCAACCTGTCACTTCGAAAAATGTCTCATGTACACCTATTCAGAGACTAAGTGTCACTGGCATTGGGTGTTATCGGTGTCTGTTTCACTGGAATTTAGAACGGAGACCTCGTCATCCGACTGCGTCCTCATTAAAACAGTCGTTTGTGGTGTTAAGACAGTGATATATTAGAATAAAAATAAACTGACCAGAGAAGCATAGTTTTGTCGTCTCTGCATGCACCAATGGATTACAGCCCTAATGCAACTAAGGAACAGTTCTATCATCGATTAAGTGAATTCAAGCGGGCTCGGCAGGTACCGTTTTACTAATGGGAGGTCATTTAGGCTATCGTTAAAAACTGGACGGTCGCTGGTCAGCTAACCCAGACCAACTGCTTCTTTGGAGTGTATAATTCATTTTAGCCAGCAACAACTTACAGCACAACTTTCGCCAGTGCTCAACCTGGGTTCCTTACCTTGTCAACTAAACGTAGGCGCTGGCTATACACATTGGCATAAGCTACAAACGGCGAGGGTATCTATAGGACCGCCAGTTATGGAGTAATTATCTAGTTAAGTTGTTTCACTGTGTCCCAGACACACATATAACCTAACCATATAAGACACATTTAGAAGCCTAAGTGGTGGTTGAGTGCACTGTTAATATTTATCTTGCAACACCCACGTATGCCGAACATTATCTGTCTGACCAGATATAGCTCACAACTTATCACTTTTCTATTCTTAACTGTGACGATTTTGACTATCTATTACAGACTCCGAATAGGGTTGGACTCATTCTTCTTTGGGTTGTGTTAATTAGATAGAATTGTAACTATCATATAGTATTCATTATCGCTTAGTATATTATACACCCCACTGAGACGCTTCCCAAATTTTTTTATAGGCGCATAATCGTGGCTGACTTTTTGACACATGATCCAGAAACTATGTGTGCATACATTCTTTGTTGACTGTACTTTAAGTTCGATTACTATGTAAGCACTATATGTGAAGCAACGGAGTTGGAATCCAAGGTTTTCAAGTAAGGGTGGTTAAATGTGTGGGCATTTCATCATTCCTAAGATTGAGACCTTTTGACAATGTAGTTGTTACTTCGATGTAGAAATAAGTTTTTGAATTAAGTGGTTTCATTTAACATGCTGCTAAGCTATAAATGTGATATTTTATTTCCCTATCATATATTATAAAGTATTGTCGTCTGCTCCACAATTACTGTACTTAATACCTACTTTAGGTCGAAAAATCTCGAGTCCGATGAAATAATGAACGAAAATCAAGTTGTTATTTGTGCGCCCAGTTCGTGTACAACTGCTTCAAACCCAAATTGCGGTCCATCATTTGAGGCATCTATTTGCCATTCAGGTATTTCATCAGTTGCTGTTCCGATTGCATCTGGTTTCTCCTCAAGTGTTTTATGTTCTTCTGCTGTATCTAACGCTTCAAATGCCTCGTCCGTCTTATCAGCTTCTTCCTTGGGATCCTTGCAAGGTTCTACTAACAACTTGAATTTTGGTTTATCCTCATCTAGTCAAAATAATCCAATAATTTTACCATCATCTTCATCGTCATTGCTAGTTAATCCTTCAAATAATGCAGCTCCTGGGATTCGGTCGATTCCTGCAATTACTAGTACGTCTCTCGTTGTAAATAACCTGGAGAAGTCAAGCTTGAATATTCCTATGACATGTCAGAATGAGTTTCCAGGTGCGAACATAACAAATTCTAGCTTTCCGTATGGGTCTGTCTTACCTTTGGAATCATCCGCAGTTTGTCAAAACCCTAGTTTTGTGAGTTTTCCAAACCAGATAACCAGTAGTTCAATGGAAATAATTCATCCGACACAACAAAATCTGTCGTCTTCCATGTCGGTATCGACATCGATTCCATTACCTTTGCCACCTAGCATCTTAAATTGCAATCCGTCGCATTCAGAAAATGTAATGAGTTTTGATTCAGATTCCAGTGCTCGTTCACTTCCAAATCCGACATTACCACCTTACTTTCCTTTGAATTTGATGCCTATCAGTGCTAATGGTGACTTCCCCACGTCACAGATAAATTTCCCGGGATTACCACCTGTCTTGCTTCAGGTTCTGCCACTACCTGGTGTTAAAATGGGGAGAACTACACAATAAATGTTCCCACTCAGTTAATTTGGGACGGTATATCTAGCGCACTAGCTAGCGGTGGTACCGTCAATGGAGGACCTATCATCTTGTCTATTACACCTACACCTTTGCCATCCCATTCAGTTTCTTCTATGACAACGCCTGTTTCATCCTACACCACAGCAAACCAAATGCCTACAACCTCTGTAGCTTTATGTGGTTCATCCAGTGGTTTTATCAATCCCAGTCTACCTCAGGTTGGAATTTCTGCCTCAACAGTTATTCCGTATTCAAGTGTTTCTATCACAACTTCAACTGCCACGGTGACCACTACGGGAGTTGTGAATACTAAAGTATCTGGGTTGATAGTGAATCCTATGCTTTCAAATCCTGCAAGTAACACCGGAGGACCTAAACGTATGAGAGCTATTGCACCCAAGCCGTTAAATGTGAGTGCTGTTGGATCCTTGGGAATGAGAGCTACGTCAGCTTTGACTACCATATCAAAAAGTGGATCAAAGCGTCATGGTTTGGTTACTCCAATTTCTGGTGTAAATGGAGTTATACCTACCTGTGCTTCTTTGCAAGTTAGCCACGCTATTTCAATTTCCAATTCAATTTCCAATTTAGGAATGGTAAATACAGTAGCATCATCTTCAAAGTTGTTGAATTCACAACCCAAAAAAGTTTCGTTGCCTTTAGTTAGTGTGAGTTCCACACTTGTGCGGCCAGGTCGCGGCAGACGTCGTGCTGGTGTTGGGCAGCAGCCTGTTTCTACTACCTTTGTTACGAGTGCACATGCATCTCCCATATGTATAACAAATTCTATCAATTCAGCGATGGGTATGACTACTGACACCAGTAGTGTATGTTCAATGCAACCTCCTCTGTCCTTGCCATTAAGTAGTCCATCTGCAGCGCCCTCATTCTTCGGTACACAACCGCTTCTCGTACCGTCCACAAGTAATCCGCATATTACTGGACCAGTTTTACCATCTGGACCCATCCAACCCACTTTACTTTTTGGAAATTCTTTACCTAATGCACCATCAGTTACAATGCCGAACGGTATGGCTCCTTTTCTGTTTCAACAAAGCCTCCCTATATCAAACAGTTGCTCACAGTTTTCAAATTCTGTGTTTAGTCCTGCTACATGTACTATTTCCATATCACCGTCTACATCATGCCCATTAGCGGTTGTTCGATCGCTTCCATCTGTTACCTCTGCAACTATATTCGCCACCAATAGTGCCCCAACGATGGCATCTATCGATCCTACTACGGGACTTGTGACTTATTATCCATCATCTTGCATTTCTATGAATAATCCGTATGCATCTGTTATGACATCTTCCACTGACTCATCATCAATTAGTATTCCGACTGTATGTTCTCAGCCTAATCATACTCTGGGTCTCCAACCTTCCTCTCAGTCGGCACCGGTCATGTATCCTATTCAGACCCAACAGCTTCTTCCCAATCAACTTGTTCCGACTATTTTTCCCAATCTACCTACTGACGTAAGCAGCATGAGTAATTTTACTGAACACACAGCCTTTCTACAATCTTTCACTCCGGGTTTAATAGATACTTCTTGCATATCTTCTAACGAACAAATGTCTTCAGAATCTACGAATATTCAGAGTCAAATGACCTGTCAAAATGCTTTTTATACATCAAACGGCAATTATAGCAGTAATAATCCCAGTGGAAATATATCGATTTTCTCGTCACTACCTGTGTCAACAATTAGTGGACTACCTAGTGTAGACGTTACTACAAGCACATGTGAAACAAATGGACCGGTAGAAGATGAGACTTGTCTAGCCAAAGATGATCTTATCAGTCTTGCATGGCATCTTACGCAAATGGAAGATGGTTTTGCGACAAATGATAAGCAGAATGCAGATGCTTTAATCGGACAAACAGAAGATGAAAATAACGTAATGTTCGAGGATTTTCTTCAAGCTTACTCGCAGAATACCACAGGCTTTAACTTCAACTCAGATTTGAACTGCAGCACACATGGCTTAGATCAATCTTCCGGTAACCATAACTCAAGTACTATGGACAAAGATGTGATTGTTTTAGATAATGAACCTGAATATACTAATAGTTTCGAAAACACTGATGGTGATACCCAGTTAACATGCACAAATGAAGAAAGCACTGGTAATGCTGATATTGACGCCCTGTTGGCAGCAGCTGCTATGGTTGGTGCTGCAAGTGGAGTCGGAGATGCTCAGTCAGCTGTTGCCGTCCCATTACCATCTTCTTCGTTAGCTTCAGTAAGCCACCAAACTGCGTTAGATTCTGAATGTAACTCCTCTCCCCATGCTACCCATAAAAATGATGATGTTGGTGATTGTGTACATTTAACTTTCGCTAGTCCTCTGATACCAGCCCACTCTTCTAGTTGCAAATTCTCACCTCTCCTTGTAACTAATAATGCTGAAGACTCCGTTGACAACTTGAAGGAACCAAAGCCGGATGGATTAATTCCAAGTGACTTATTTGATGATTTCTCAAAAACAGAAGTAAATGAGCAGTTTCCGAATGAAGTAGATGGTTCAGTACATGAATTTGACGATGGTTATGAACCCACTAGTTTGGCTGCAGTTCTCGGTTGTAACGCTCAAGATGCTGCAGACTTGGAATCAGTTTTAGGTCAGGAAGCTCCAGACCTGTCAGAAGGCGGAGGTGTTTCAGATTCTTTTCTACATTCACTCGTGGGTCCTTCTCCTACGGTGGACGATTTAAATGATGATGAAAGAGGTGGTGCAGTTGATATCTTCGATAATGATTTTCATTCCCCTCATGAATCAAAGCCTGATACAGAGAACGATTTGAATTTTCATTCAGTGCATGATTTCCCTACTGATATCGATTGCGAAATGGTTAGTGATGTAACTGACACCTTACCTGTTTCAAAACAAGTTCGATCATTGCTTCGTGATACCAATACTATCTCAGTGTCTTCGCGATTTGGATCACCTTCAGGTGGTAGCAAAAGCTTTAACCACTTCTTCGAGGCCACTTCACGACGTCTTAATAGATCGTGTAGATACACATCTGATATTGATGATGATTTTATCGGTGTCGACTTTTCCGATGCAGTTAATGGATGTACAACAGCGGAACAGTTTGATGAGGCTTTGATGTTATTAGGACCTCAGCCTAATTCACCTATTAACCAGTCTGAAATGCAAAGCGAAAATACAATCCCTGTCTCAGTAACTGATTTTGTTTCTCACATTGAAGACAAGATGAAAAACAATGAGAATGCTGTCAAAGGTGGATTATTAAGCATTGATATCACATGTTCGGATGTTAAAGATGTTATGGAAGATAGTATTATGACAATTCAGTCTAACTCCACACCTCCACGATGTGCCGTAGTAGAATCTCTGGAAATCCCTATCCCAAATGAAGAATCTAATTCACAGAGAAATTATGCTGCCTCTCCAATTAGTGAAATAGAAGAGTGTATGACAGAAAACAATTTGGATCAGCGACTGAAGGACGAAAATAAAGCCAGTTCAATTAATTCTCCGGATAAAAATGATTCAGTTTTTGTGGTAGCAATTCAAGACAGTGATCGCTCACCAGAAGTGAAGTCACAGCAAATGGAAGCTTGTGATGATGCCACAAATATCAGTGACTTCAATCACGCAGATCAAAATTGTTCTTCACATAATGAAGTTGAGCTGCCGAAGACCTTCCCGCCAATAACTGATGAAAGCCAAAGTCAACTAACTGATTCGAATCCGAATCCATCAACTACTTCTGACATGCAGAATTCTACTGCAGTACAAAACAATATTGTCGACTGCCGTTACTCTGAGTTTAAGAATGATCCTAGGTCAATACTTTCCACATATCTAGTGTATAATATTCCAAAACGTCCACAGTCAGTAAGTCCGAAAATTCTGTTTGATATCATCCCACACAGTGTTTCCAAACCATGCTTTGATCCACCCCCACGACCTAGAAGTCTTCCCAATTTATCTTCTGTGAACACCGAAGCGGAACAGCGTGACTATGGCCTTGAGAATACATTTAAATCACATATTTCAGACATATCACCATTTTGTAATACTCCTCCTCTAGTAACATGTTCTGCTAAACAATGCAAATCAAGTAATAAAAGTTCTCCGAAATCTGATCAGCATCTGTCGATCAATACAGGAGATATTGTATCAAACATTTCCATTCTTGGAGTTCTTGCCTCATCCTCTGCTCTGGTGGAAGCAGTTGCAGATTTAGGAGATGATTCAGACATTTCACCCGTCAAATCAAGTATTGAAGGATTAGCATCCCTTGATCGCATGTTAAAAAGCTGTCAGCGTCGCAGTCAACAGACTTTAAAATCTACGGGGAATGCTTCTAGTAGCTCTGAAAGCGTTATGATTTCATCTTCACAAACATCCAGCCTATCTCAAACCTCAGCAATACAAACGGTAGCTGCATGTGATACTGAACATTCAAGAAATATTGATATATGCAGCTCTACATTTATAGGTTGGCAAAATACAGATGTATCTAGTCAATGTGAAGTAGATTCTGATGTTAGTGTTCATGAAAGTACTTCTCTACCTATTAGTAATGCTGATTCTGTAGCTGAAAGTTTCAGTCCTGAGAAAGAACAGATCAAAGTTACAAATACTGCACGCTACAAACGTGGTCGCCGGAAACGCACTGGACACAGAAAACCGAATTTGTCTTATTTGAAGAAAGGTTCAGCTAAAACTAGTACTAAATTCCATTCGAATGTATCTGAAGTAAATTCCTCCGAGAATACTACTGGAGATACAAATGAAGCAAATCAATTAGGCGACCACTCAGTCAACCCTTCTGATGATGTTTCCATCAATAACCTTCTGGAACTAGCTGCAAGACGCCCGCATTCTTTTGGGTGAGTTTAACACATTTCAGTGTTTCTATTCTTTTATTATTCATTTGGAAGAATTATAAATACCTAATTGCTCCTTTAATTTTTCAAGAATTCCAAATTTAGAATTTCTCCA